TATAATAAATAAATAAATAAATAAATAAATAAATAAGGATTTGCTTAGCCAGTAAGACAAGGATGAACCCGCAAGAAGTTGCGGAGGAAGAGAAACCCCATTTTCCACCTTCCTCCCCATCACTGGCTCCCTCCACACACTGCTGGCTGTCCTTCCCGGTGTGGTTGTCTCTCTGCTTCCCAACCAGCTTCGGCTTGAGTCTGCCACTGGTTCCAGCTTCCCATTTCTTATTGGTGTTTTTTTTAAAAAAAAACAACAACCAAAAACAAAACATTCCTCGGCTGAGCCACGGGAGTGCTACACTTCCCAGATGTGCCGGTGAGATCGCGCCCAGAAAATGCGCCTGACTTCCGTCTCACTAGCGTGGCTACTGTTCCGTGTGACCGCAGCCGAAGGCACTCTTGGTTCTGAACACCGGAGCTAGCCACAGCTCTGAAAAAGGAGTCTCCATTTTCAGGTGATAGGCAACCTCAGAGCAAGCCTCCAGTCTTCCCCCTCCACCCAGCAGTGGATTATGCTTAGGAATGACAATGAGTTCTAGCAGATAAAGTATCTACATTTCTAAAGTCTATTTAATTCTTTGTCTGAATACTGGTCTGTCCCTCAAGATACCGGGATAAACCAATCAAGCATTCAAATTATTAACGATCCTTCATGACGCTAATCAGGGACGGTCTCCCACCTTTTGTTTACCCTGGCCAGGACCATTAGTGGCCAGATAATCCATTCAACTAGCCACCCAGCACCTGGCTTCTATTGTTAAATTCAGACTCTGCCTTTCTGGAAGCTCATTGGTCACATCTAGGCCTTGCCCATCCTGATGCCACACACCCCTGGGACTCATCATTGGTCCAGGTAATCTATTGTTCTCACCTGAGACCAGCCCCCAGGACCGGCCATTGGTCTGCATTGTCTTCCAGTGGGTATTTGTTGTTGTTGTTCAGTCGCACAGTTGAGTCCGACTCTTCGCGACTCCATGGACCAGATCCCGCCAGGCCTTCCTGTCTTCCGCCGTCCTCTGAAGTTTGCTCAATTTCATGTTCGTTGCATCTATGACACTGTCTAACCATCTCATCCTTTGCCGTCCCCGTCTTCTTTGACCTTCAATCTTTCTCAGCATCAGGGTCTTCTCCAGTGAGTGCTCCCTTCTCATTGGGTGGCCAAAGTATTTGAGCTTCAGCTTCAGTATCTGGCCTTCCAGGGAACAGTCAGGGTCGATTTCCTTTACGATCAACTGATTTGATCTCCTTGCAGTCCAAGGGACTCTCAAGAGTCTTCTCCAGCACCATAATTGGACAGCATTTTAGGGATACAAAAGAAGACAAAATGTATTTCGTTCCTAGTGTTCTCAAACGATTAGAACAATAGATGTTTGCGAACGGTTTCTCCTAGTGGATTCATGGTGACCCAGCTCAGATCTGTTATTACTGTAAAGTTTTGTTCTGTTTGTTCTAATGTAATGTCACAGCATAAAATAGGCAGGGGAAAGGGGGGAAAGTAACGCTGAAGAAGAGGTCACAGTTTCCACCATAGCTTTGAGCCTTAAAGCAGTAAGAGCTTCATGCCTCGAAACCAGCATTTCAAAGAATAATCCTGGTATTCTGTTTTGTACAATATTTGTTTTACGGTCATTAATCAGCAATTGCTTTTGATGACAAAATCCCGACAGATTTGCCGCCGAGCTCCTCTGAGGTTATTAAGACACCCTCAAACTTCCCCCCTCCCGCCTAGTGTGCTTTCAGGCAGATTACATGCCTCGTTTCTCCCGTCATTTAGTTATGCTAGTATTTGGTATGCTCAGCTGAACAACAATTGTCTGAATATCAGAATTACCATTATCTTCCTCTGCTTATGAGAGGTGCTGGAACAAGCCAGCGACTGGGGCTTCTTCAAATCATTATAGTGGTTTTGCATTTGGGGGGGGGGGGTTAATATGAAAAACAAAGGCAGCAATGGAGACCCCTGGGCCACGACTACAATTAGGGTTGACAGCTCTGTCATCTTGGTGCTTGGGAGGGTCAACAGTGGAAGGGCTTCTAATGTCCTGGCCCCACTGGTGGACCTCCTGATGGCACTGGTATCTCTGGCCACTGTGTGACACAGAGTCTTGGACTGGATGGGCCTTTGGCCTGATCCAACATTGGCATCTCTTATGTTCTTATGTTCAGCTCCAGGTTGGGAAATACCTGGAGATTTTGGGGGTGGAGCCTGAGGAGGGCGGGGTTTGGAGAGGGGAGGGACTTCAATGGGATATAAGGCCATGGAGTCCACCTTCCAAAGAGGCCATTTTATCCAGGGGATCTGAGTTCTGTCACCTGGAGATCAGTTGTAATAGTGGGAGAACTCCAGGCAGTACCTGGAGGTCGGCAACCCTAGCTCCACTTATTGTCGTAGCCCAGCTGGTCTCGCGGGCTCCACGTCCAGGTCACGCAGGCAGGAGCAGGTCAAAGGAATGTTCACAGCATAGTCCAAACAGACCAAGGACAGCTGTTACAGTCAGAGAGAGTCCAAAAGCAGAGTCAAGCCGGTCCAAGCGTCACAGGAGTAGAGCAGAGTCAGGAGTTGTGGCCGTAGGATTCACTGAGAGGTGACGTGTTGCTTCCACAAGTTGGCAACAGCTCACACCCAGCTGTAAGTCGCTTTCCCCTAATTAGTCTTATCTGCAGCTGGCAAGTTAGCAGGGCTCCTGTAATGACTCATCCTGTAGCTGTTGATGGGCCATTAATCTTTTACTCTGTCTGCGTTCTTGCAATTGCCTTCTGATCTTAGCCCTTTTTCTTTCTATGAGCGGGGAATCTGGGGGGGGGGTCATGAGTGCCTCCGGAGGTACTTGCCCCCCAGGCTTACCAAGTACTTACCGTGATCCAGTGGGGGACACATACGTCTTCCCAGGACCATTCCCACGTGGACAACAGATGCGCCGCACTATGCCGTCGCCAGGAAGTGACACCGGGCGACGCTCTGGCAATGGGGCTGGAAACTCGATGGTACCATCGAGTTTTCAGCCCCATTGTCAGAGCGTCGCCCAGCGTCACTTCCTGGCGACGGCATGGTGTGTTACAGGGAGGAATGTCCCAGCCGGGGATCATGTGTCCCCCGCCGGATCACGGTAAGTACTTGGGAACCCTATTGCCCCCTGACTTCAGCTGGCTCAGTATTATCTGACTGGAATTCCTGAGTGTCCTCCACTCTGAAATCTTTCGCCACGCTGGACCCAGGCTCGACTTCTGAGGAGTCCTCACTCACACTGGGCTCCCGTTGCCAATCAGACTGGTCAGGCTGCAAGTCTGACTGGTCCTCACCCAGGCTGGGCTCGGGCAGCAGGTCAGAGTCCGGCTGCACCTCAGGCTGAGGCTGGTCCACGGCAATGATATACAGGAACTGAATGGATAGCAGAACATGCTGCCGAAAACCGATGCCATCCTCTGTGCCTTCACTAAGGATGGGATTACCAGCTCCGGGTTGGGAAACATCTGGAGATTTTGGGGGGGCGGAGGCCGAGGAGGGCGGGGTTTGGGGAGAGCAGGGACTCCAATGGGATATGATGCCATCGAGTCCACCTTCCAAAGCAGCCGTTTTCTGCAGGTGAACTGATCTCTGTTGCCTGGAGATCAGTTGTAATCTCGGGAGATCTCCAGCCACCACCTGGAGGCTGGCAACCGTTACTGAAGGATATTGGGTTTTGGCGCCGGATTCACTGGGTACTGTTGTTAATGCAGTACTCATGTATTTTGCACAGTACACCAGCCACATTCCCAGCATTCGCTGCCTCCCCCCGCCATACTTCAGTAAGGGCACTGTTATGTATTTAGGGAGGGAAAGGATCAGTACTGGAGGCAGTAGCGGTCATAAGCCGGGCTATTTTTGGGCAGGAATGTTTTTTTTTATGCACAGGAACGGAGTTCCGGCTGGCTCCCGAGTTGGCCACGCCCATAATAGGCCACACCCAATAGCAGAAACTCATTAGGATTGGCTACATTAGGGGTGTGTCGCCTAACATGCACAGGAGTTTTAAAAAGCCCTGGGTTTTGACAACAAACAAGGTAAACAGAATAAGAAGGGAAAGGTGGGTGTGGCTGGATGACCACACTTCTGGTAACATGGTAACATGGGGGTGTGGCCTAATGGGCCAATGAGCTGTGCTGTCAGGGGTGTGGCCTAATAGGTTAATGAGTTTCTGCTGTTGGGTGTGGCCTATTGTGCTAATGAGTTCCTGCTGGGCTTTTTCTACAAAAAGAGCCCTGTCTAAGAACTGTGTTTATTGGAACACAGAACAGGCCACAACTAGGTCTCAGTAACTCTAACTCCTCCTCCATTTATGGTCACAAGACCGGAGCCTCTCCTTTCTAGTGAGCCCCTGGGAGTTGTCCTTAAATCAACAGTACAATCAACAGTACCAATGTAACCAGAGGCACTATATCCCCCTTCTTCCTTCAGTGTCAGATAGTGTTGCCCCATCACACTAGCCACACCCACAGCTGGTCCGAGTGAGCACACAGGAGCCTGCCTGTTCCACTTTCAATTTGACCTTCTTCCCCATAAGAAAATAAGAAGAGCCCTACCAGATCAGACCAGTCGTCCATCTAGTCCAGCATCCTGTCTCACACAGTGGCTAAGCAGTTCTTCTGGAGGGCCAACAGCAAGGCACAGAGGCCAAGGCCTTCTCCTGATGTTCCCTCCTGGTTCTGGGATTCAGAGGTTTTGTGATAGGATTGCCACCCTCCAGGGGGCACCTGGAGATCTAACGCTATTACAGTTGATCTCCAGATGACCAAGATCAGTTCCCCTAGAGAAAATGGCTGTTTTGGATGGTTGACTCTGTGGTGTTCTATCCTGCTGAGGTTCCCCCAAGCTCTACCCCCAACTCAGAGCTTGGCAACCCTACGAATGTGGAGGTTCCCCTCAGTCACCATGGCTGGTAGCCACTGATAGACTCATCCTCCATGAATCTATCCAATCCCCTTTTAAAGCTGTTTATTCCTGTGGCCCTCACTACATCCTCTGGCAGCGAATCCCACATTTGAACCACAATCCCCCTTCCAACCTAGTTTGTTGCTTTCTCCCCCTTTTCTAAATTGCTTTCTCTTTTCAACAGACGACACAGGTATGCATATTTTTGCACAAACTTTTACTGAGCAGATTTTTAAATATATATATATATCTTTGTAGGCTTGGAAGACATTGAATTCTTGCAGCTTATGTTCAGAGAAGACTTCATCTGCGATAGTTACTTCAGCAACAGCCTGCACGGGAGAATCACAACAGAAGAGTTGCATTTCGGGGAAGGAGTCCACCGGAAGGCTTTTCGGAGCAAAGTCATGCAGGGCTTGGTGCCGGTGTTTAGCCCGGGGCACCCCTGTGTCCTGAAAGTGCACAACGCCATCGCCTATGGGACCAAGAACAACGACGAACTCGTTACAAAGAATTACAAATTGGCGATGCAGGTAAATGCGTGCTGCATCGCTTGCTAAATAGGGCTCGAGGGGCATGGGCTGCCTTTTGAACACTGATACCGCCCGCTGCGTTGATGCTTCTTCATTTCTTACCATTCCTCTGGGCTCTCTTTTATACAGGAGTGCTACATTCAGAACACGGCAAGAGAATATGCAAAGATATATGCTGCGGAAACCGAACAATTAGAAGGCTTCGGGGAGGTGCCGGAGTGAGTGGATGTTTTAATTTTGGGGTGCGGTGATTGTGAGGAGGGTGCGGTGGTGACATTGGAAACGTAATGCAACTATATTGTGGTTAAGACACTGAACTGCAGGCTGTGGAAGGTCAGTAGTTCAGCGGTTCAAGACCCGGGTGCCGCAAGACAGGGTGAGCTCCTGTCTCTAGTTCCAGCTCCTGCCAACCTAGCAGTTCGAAAGCAAGAAATTGCAAGTAGATAAATAGGGACCACTTCGGTGGGAAGGTAGCAGCGTTCCGTGCGCCTTGGTGTTTAGTCATGCCGGCCACATGACCACGGAAACGTCTTCGGACAGCGCTGGCTCTTCGGCTTGGAAACGGAGATGAGCACCGCAACCCTAGAGTCGGATTCGACTGGCTTTTGAGCAAGGGAACCTTTACCTTTACCTTTTACATTCTTTTTGGGCTCGGCATTCCTCCAAGAAGCTCCAAGGTGGCGTAGATTGTTCTCCCATCCTCAGGAGCTGATCGGCCATTGTGGCCACCAGGAAAAGTCAGAGTGGGCTTATGGCCTAGGGGTAGGGTTGCCAATCTCCAGGTAGTGGCTGGATATCTCTTGGGATCACAACTGATCTCCAGGCGACAGGGATCAGTTCCCCTGGAGAAAGGGGCCTCTTTGGAAGGTAGACTCTAGGGCTCTGAGACTCCAAGTGAGGGGCAGGGTACAAATCCAATCTCCTCTTCTTCTCTTCTTCATTATGCCCCATGGACATTCCTCCCCTCCCCAACACCTGCCCTCCCCAGGCTCTACCCCCAAAATCTCCAGGTATTTCCCAACCCAGAGCTGGTAACCCTACCTATGGGCCACTCTGCACCCACGGACTCACACACTGGGGCCACCCCAGCCAAGTGTCAGCAAGCTGCCAAATTTCTTTTCTGTTCTCCATGTATGCGCTTGATTGCTTTCACTTTCATATGTAGACCTGTTGATGCGCTTAATTGCTTTGCTGATGGAACGTCTATATCTCTCAAGACCACAGGTGGTTGCTCCTGGATAGTTGCTTGGGTGATCTCACGAAGAACTGTGGGAAGGACGGAGATATGTTATGCCGCCTAGAAGCATTTGCTCCCAGGCCCGATGGCGTGCGCGGGAACTCCCGCAATTGGGCCTCAGTTGTTTGGATGTACTATAACCTGCCATGCTCGTTGCTCCCCCCTCATTCCTAACAGTGATCCTGTACATGCACCTATAGCTTCAAATAAAGTAAAACCTTCCTGCAAGAGTGTACTTCATTGATGCTGACACCAAGCCTTATCTTTTATGGGGTGCCTAGGACTGCCAGCTTCGGGTTGGGAAATTCCTAGAAATTTAGGAGCAGAGCCTGGGGAGGGCCAGGATTGGGGAGGAGTGGGGTCTTGGTGGGGTACAGTCCACCCTCCATAGCGGTCATTTCCTCCAGGGGAACTGATCTCTGTAGCCGAGAGATCAGTTGTACTTCTGGGAGATTTCTAGGCCCCACCTGAGGTTGGTAACCCCAGGGGTGGCTGTGGGCAAGCTGTGGGGAACTTATTTCCCCAAGTGCTGCAGGGCCCAAGTTGGGTAGGGAATACAGCATGGGGGCGGGGACAGGAGTCATCCTCCCTGGGCCGTTTTCCTGAGCCAGAGCAGTTGTAGCGTCAAGCAAATTTTCGTTTCTTTGTATTTCACCTCACGGCTTGCCATGCTATAGGGGGGAGGGAATCCCTGAGGGGAGTGCACGGGGTGTTGAGAGTGAATGCTTGTAGTAGCCATAACCATTTCCTTAAGCAGCAGTCAGGTGGCGTCCTCATTGGTTGACAGTGCCGCCATTGGAGCCGCCAGTGTAGGGAGTGGTAGGCATTCAGTTGTGAGTTCGCAGTCCCTTCATGGAAACGGGCTTCTGAAGGGAAGCAGTGAGACACCATGGAGCTAGCCAGAGGCATCGTTATGATACCCTTTTAAATCAACAAATGGTACATCAGACATGCTTAAAAGAGTTGTTTTGGGGAAAATGGTACCCTTCAGCTTTCCTCCATCAAAATGTGCACTCTGGAATCCATTTCCTTAAGCTGTGCCCCAACGCCAGTTCCCATGACAGCTGACCTTGGAGACTCTTCTGCCATGCTAGAAATAGATAAGGGGCCGTATATCTGTCAGGGTTGCCATAGTGACTGGTGACGTATACATGAGATGTGGGGTGTCAATTCTTACCTATAACTGGGGATTTTCACGTGTTTTCTCGGAAACGGGCTTCTGAAGGGAAGCAGTGAGACACCATGGAGCTAGCCAGAGGCATCGTTATGATACCCTTTTAAATCAACAAATGGTACATCAGACATGCTTAAAAGAGTTGTTTTGGGGGAAATGGTACCCTTCAGCTTTCCTCCATCAAAATGTGCACTCTGGAATCCATTTCCTTAAGCTGTGCCCCAACGCCAGTTCCCATGACAGCTGACCTTGGAGACTCTTCTGCCATGCTAGAATAGATAAGGCACCGTATATCTGTCAGGGTTGCCATAGTGACCTAGGGGCTGGATGGTGACGTATGCATGAGATGTGGGTTGTCAAAACCCTAACCCTATAACTGGGGATTTTCATGTTTTCTCAGTTTATTTATTTATTTAATTTTCCACACTTATATCCCGCCCTCCCCAGTGGGCTCAGGGTGGCTAACAGAGGCCAGATCATAAGTCTAGCCATAAGTAAAAACATATAAAAATATAATAAAACATCAAAACTAAGACTAAAGTGCTCTATCCAGTTACTAGTGTCCTAGATCCAAGATGGTATCCCCACGACTCAAGCTGGTAATCTCAGCGTACATATCCAGTGGCAATGGCATATCTGATGTAATTCCAAGTTCTTCCTGGGGCCCCGTCAATGCATCCATTCAGATGTCTTGACGGTGGTGGTATAGTAGGGCGGCGGCTCCTACTCAAAAGCCTGGCGGAAGA